CCCAGACATGACCTACGTGTGTCAAAAACAGTCCCACAGTCCTCAGCGCGACCCAGCTTGATTTCACTCACCGCATTGCTAATACTGATAAACGCCGTAGATGTCACGCTTTAAACCTTCTTTATCAGCGCCTGTTGTAGTTGGCAGAGCCGGTACCGTCGCTTCAGCGCCGCTATGATGCCGGCATCAAGTGGCTCCAGCTAGGCTCTGATCTCAAATCTGATCTACTGCTATACTTGAATCGAGGCGTTGTCCACGGACACAATCAGGTATGAAAGGTTAATCTGTACCTACAAGCTGCAGCTCAAACGAATAATTAAACCTGTGGTTAAACCCGTAGACAACGCGACACCACCCTGCTAGTAGCACCGCCTTTTACTTTTATTGATTTTATTAGGCTCATTTACATGAAAGTTTACATTATAACGTATAATACCGAATAGTACACGGCGCTCTATTGAACACCCTCCGGGGGTAGATAGGGTGTTATATTATATGAGCGTTTTATTGTTCTATTTGATGAACACAAAGGAGCTGTAAAATCGCCTCGATCAATATTAGCATCTAGATTCTACCTAGATTTACTCTATTAATCGATTAATGCGCTCATCGAATACTTCCATCACCTCGCTTACACATTCACTCTTACTGCTAAAGTTCTGCTCGCCGCTTTGCTTATCTTGAACCGCACAGAACTTGTATCGTAGGTTTCACGCTTGCTGTTGAGTAAGTCCTCAGAAGATCCTCCAAATGAAGAGTTGGAAGAGCCAGGTGAGACGCTGAAATCAAAGAGCGCGAAGTGTGGGTGTGAGGAGGAGGCGGATCCATCAAGCACAGGGGGGCCGCAGACAGCTAGCTGATGGTCATCTTATGGTGCGGGATATAAACCAGCTCATCGCATTGTGCCCGGCTAACTGGGAAGGGGGACCACAAATTCACTGGTCGTCTCCTCCAGCTCTGACGCCAAGTCGCAGTTCAAGAACAATTGGCAGAAGACAGTCGCCCACCGGCTCCTTGTTAGTAGTAAGTACCGTTATTTAAAGACACAATCCAATCGATGATGAAGGGTTCGATTTCTTGTCACACCCGGGCTTTGTTCGAGGATTTCTAGCCTGGAATTTTGCCTTTCGTGGTTTATCTACTACGTACTTCTCTCCACTAGGTGTAGCAGAGGAGCGGGTAAATATCAGCGCTTTTGACTAAGACCAAGATGCCGGTGTCACCGAATACTGTGACAATAGCGAATTATGCGGCAGCTGTGGACGTGCTGTAGCTGCTTGTTAACGAAATGTATCAGCTAATAATGACAGGTTTGGTTGACAAAACGAGACGTTTCCTGCTTCAGCAGAAGTCAAAGTCCATGCTTCGTCCCCGAACTATATGCCTGGGTCGATGGCTGTTTCAAGCAGTTTCAGGCTACCGTAAGGCTGCGATTTCAATTCTATCATGCGTCCTACGTACGAATGGTACAGCGAGTGACGAGTGGGAAGGTGGGGAGAGCACAGAAGCCCACGTCTAGTCGAAAGGGAGAACCTCATCAGAAGGTTACCCATCGCAAAATGAATGACAATGCCGCAGCATTGACAGTCCCCCCGCAGTTGCCGCAGCTCTGCCTATTCGTAATGACCAAATCATATGCATGAAGCATCTGTCGATAGAAGGTAGCCCAAGAGAAAGTGACACCTGCTTCTAAGACTATCGGAGAGATTTCGTGTACCCGGCATTGTAAAGAGCTTTATTGCGAAGGCCTATGGAGGGATGCGATCGACAAAGCCGGCGAAAGAAGAGGTGAGCAGTTGAGATCTGCACACACCATGCTGCGAATCAGGACGCGATTCGCTTCAGGACAACGGCAAGCTTCTACCACGGATATGCCCCGCTCCGAGCCAGCCTGGTGCACTATCGGATACCAAACGCCGCTGCCCCAAATCTGTTGGCTGCCCTGATATGGATAGGTCCCGCTTCATGGGTATTGGTGAGCCGCTGCAAGACGATTCCAGGCAGGTCGTTGGTCCTGATGTGGTCACAAGCCATGCTCCGGACGTTGTAAACCACTACAGGACGTTTGCAGGGCGTCAGCTTGTCCTGGCATGGCCACAAGCTGTGTCCTAGACGTGAGAGACCCCAAGCAAGAACTCACAAGCAGGGCGTTAGCGCATACATTGCAGTACGCACACTGGAAGTTCCTCTAGGAACTGGGAGGATGATCAAGACCTTACCAGAGTTTCCCAATATTGAGATGGCCCAATTGAGACACTGACCTGGTGATTTCGAGTCCGACTGTTTGCTGCGGAACAAGGTATCATATCCAAGTATTTGTCTGGACTATTGACTAACTACGGTATCCCCCCCCCCCCGTATCGACTCTGCTATCAGTAATGGATGGGATACATCGGTGTAGAATTGGCCGTGTCAAGCAACAGACACCTACAACGAGCTCCTCCGACGGTAAACAAAAGCTGTTGGACTTGCTTTGCCAAGCTCGAGGGAAACTCCAAGCGATCCACGATCAAACAAGTCACAACATATTCCAGACCACCTCCCCCAGCTGGGAGCTGTGCGGGTACAAGGATCAGGTGCAAGATATTGTCACACATGGAGTCCGTCGTACTTGGCGGACTAGTTTTCGGAAACAGGTAAAGCCCGAACCATGGATCAGTGTTACGAAATTTAATGCAGTATTTGGACAGGACAATCGACAATGGGTACTTAACCTTGGATGGTGGTCTGCTTCCATATCTCGCAGGGACCACGTGCAGCCTATTTCGGTGCGGTAACAATGGGTGGTGCGGACCTTATTGTGGATACATGCGTGATCCACGATCTTTCATTTCCACGATGTGCGTCAGAGAATGATCGAGTACAGGAGACCCTACATTCGAAGTCTCGTATGACGGAGCCGAATACTAGCTCGCCAGATTTTGTAAGTTGAATAAGAATCGTTAGGTATATCCACTAGAGATGCGTCAGGAGCGTTTCACAATATTTTTTTACTGACTACGAAGGTATCAGGACACTTCGGTGAAGCATTTCCCAAGCTTGGAATTTTAACTACTTGATTTGTCGTGGTTTGAGATGAACAGATTCTCCACGTTAGTATCGGGCGTCAGGAGATGCTATCGTTAATTTTACACTCAAACTTCTTCCTAATGGGTCTGGTGAATCTGGAGCGAGCGTCTTTAATGGGAAATCTGGTGCGACCTCACCTGCATAGAACCAGATGTGGGATTGTGGTGGAGTGGGGTTCTCAAAATCACGTTGCGATCCACTTGGACACAGAGTGCCCTGGACTGCCGACTAACGGAGGGGGTACTCCGATAACCGTGGGGTTGCTGAGGGCTCACCTCGTGTACCCGTCGGCGGGGCTGGT